TTGTGCCAAGGTGCTGGCAATGTCCCTTTCAAAAGATACCCTATACTTTCTGTTCTTTGCCACCTGCAGGTCGGCCCCTCGACCCTGCCTGATCTCTCGTCTGTAAACCTCTCTGCAGCCTGTTTCCATCAGCGTTCTAGAAACTTTGCTCCTGTGCTGCTAGTTCCCTCTTCCTGGGGCAGCCCCCCACCTCCACCCAGGCCTTGCTGCTCCCACCCACTCCAGGCACTTCAGCCCAGAGCCCCCAGGGCACTGCCTGTGCACCCTCCCTGCCTTGAAGCCCCCTGCTGTCTGGTACCATACACTGCTGGTTCTCAGCTCCCCTCTTGCGCTGTGCCAGGGCCCCACAAACTGTTGCGCCGGAGCCCCGCCTGCAGAGTCGGGGTGCAGTCACTCTCGCTGTGGAGAGAGTTTTCCGTGAAAGCTTGGCCTTGTCAGGTCATGAGGTGGGCTGCTCCTCTATAGTGGAGGGGGCCGTCTGTCTCTCTTCTTGACTGACTTACCTTTTTGCTTCATCAAAGAGAAGCAGAGTCAGATGGGGTTTTCTAGACCCATGGATGACTTCAACCTCCTGCTGACTCAATGTTAAGGGGCAGCTTTGATCTGAAGTGGTGGTTGTGGCAGCTGCTGGGAGGTGACTGGCCCGCAACCAGGGCTGGCACCTCCGCCCTGCTTCTTTCCGGATGGTGCGTCAAACATGAAGGTTGCTGGGAGACTGGTGAAGTAGATGCTTACACTGCTGTAAAGGTCATGGCTGGACCTGGCAGCTGGACCTTCTGAGGCACCTGGAATTGCAGGGGTTTTCTTCAGACCCGGCACATCCATGTCAGTGTTCCCTTTCTATGTAGTCAGTGAGGTAGACATGAAATATCATTGAACATCATGAACTGTCTTCTCTGGTTGGGTCAGATGGAGTCCCAGGGCCTGGCAATGCTTTCTCAAGGGACTGTCGTGACCCTGTTGCATAGTAACAACAGCCTTGGCTCTGGCTTTCTGAGTGACAGTAGTGTCTCTGCTGTTCATGGTGGACCTTGGGTAGTGTCCAGTGGGGTTGGCTGTGCTGGGAGACCAGTCATAAGATCCGGGAGTTGGGATTGAGGACCACATGCCATCACCCTGCCTCCGGGCCTCTGGGGAGGGCAGGGCCAGAGGCGACTTCAGCCACGAGCTGGCTGTGGAATCACACAGCCTGCATGACATTTTTTAAAAGCTCAGTAGCAAAGCTTGATGGAGCATCTGTCTCTGGTTCAAAATCTGTCATCAGGGTGTCCGGGATCAGTGTCCTGAAGACACAGGAGGTCTGTGTTTTGGACTCTACCAGATCTTGCTCCTCAGGGCTTGTCTTTTGACAGGTCTTGATCTGCATCCCTTTACTTGAACTTGGACTCTTAAATACAGTGCTCTCCTGGATCCTGTGAGTCCCTTTAACAAATCATAGCCCCCTTGGGAGCTGTGGGCACCCTGGATTTGTGGGTGGCCGGGAGAGCGGGGGGTATGGCCCATTTGTGTCTGTGTCTGGCTTGAGGACTGTCACTGTCCTGTGACAGGGAACTTTGCCATTGGCATGGAGAGCATGGTCTTTGGGACCCACAGAACTCACACCCTTGAAAGAAGGCGCTGCTGGCAACTGGCCCCTCCGAGCTATGACTTGAGGGGTATCTGGTGTTGGTCTGTTTATTGCTTGCTGGCTCCCTTTGGGAGATTTCCCTTCTGGGATTTGCTGTCGCCTCTAGCCAAGCTTTCTCACCCTGGGCACACACTCTATCTGCACTGCTGCTTTGGGTATCCTGAGAGATGCTGTCAGCTTGCTGGTTTACTTCTGGAGTTGGAGCGTATCTAGGAAAGCCACCAAGATGGTTGAGGGCTGGAGGATTCATGCGAGAGCAGAAGATGAGCAGAGGCAGATGAGGCCACGGACCGTGGTCAGGACGTCAGCGATGAAGGAGAACTCCAGTGTGGAGGGAGGTGGGAGAGGGCATTCATTCGGCATGGGCCGGAAGCCCACCAGGGTGTGCGGGGCCACTGTTTACCGGAGACTCCTAAGATGTGGTCAAAGCGACATTTCCCTTCTCCTATTGCCTGGCTTGACATCGTTACTGGGGAAGAACAGGTGTTGGGTCACTTTGGGGAAAGGAGGTCTTGTCCCGTCGCCCGCTCTGAGGGGCTGTCCTGAGTGTCATCTCTCTTGAATCAGGGTGTTGTGGGGACAGGTCTCTAGGCCCATTTCAGCTCTGCTGACGTTGACCACCCTGGGATGGGTCCAGGGAGTCCCTACTTGTTGCTGGCACACTAGGCAAATTGGGCCTGGCACCCTGGCGTCAGTGAAGCCTGTGGTAACAAGGTCCAGGTCCCGCTCGCCCTGACAGTGTGGAGAGCGGCAGCCCTCCCACGCTGGGCGTTCCCCTGCCCCGTGACAGCTCTTTCTTCCACAGGCATGTTCTGCCTGACCCTGGGGGACACCAGGGGACACTGCTGACCTGCAGGGCCTCCGCAGGGCAGAAAGGTTGGGCAGCCCTCCTGGATGCCACTCCTCTGTGTACTGCACAGCTCCAGCTTCTATATGCAGCATGGCTTTGGGTTCTCTCACCAGGGCGGCTCCAGGTTCTGTCTCCAGCAAAGCTCTGGTTCTGGGTTGAAAACTTGAGACTTTACAGTGGGGAACCTGCTAGTTGGTTGAGGGAGAGCTTTTTGTTGGAGTGTAGTTGGGGTGCCCGTAGGAAGGACCCTAGTGTTTGCCTCTTCAAGTCACTTCCAGGGGTCCCGCATATTTTTGTTCTCTTTCCCTAAACCAGAGCAGTTTTCAGAGAAGAGGATAAAGAGCGCCATCTCTGTCTAGGTACTGAGTTGAGCATGTGTGAGATGGGGGGCATTGGCTCCCTCCTCCCCACCCTCTCTTCCTCACACAACTCTTGCCAGATTCTTAAACCTGTGACCTTTTCTGGGGGCTTGGGTGGATTACTGTGAGCTCCTGATGGCCCCCTCTCTGGAAGGGCATTTTGGGTGGAGATGGGACCATGGACATCTGCGTGTGACACAATCTGTAAGTTTTCAGCAGCCAGACATGAGTCTCAGGTTATTGCAGAAAACAAAAACAAAAACACCACGTTTATTTCCTTGTGCATGGCCTGGCTTGCTTTCTTTTTGAAGATTTATTTACTTATGCATACAGAACTGGGGTTCAGGCCAGAGGTTCAGGGATGGTGAGAGGATCCATTAGAGGCAGAGTGGGGAGCAGAACAGGCAGATCAATGAAGTACACTGTTGAGGGGAGCAGTGGGAGGGTCAGAAGAGGCCTGCCGTGCCATGTGGGTGACAGCTAGCTTCCTAGTGCTGCACTTTAACCCGTTGTGCCACCAGGGAGGGCCTGCTTGGCCTGGCTTTCAATGAGAAATGAAGGCTAAATTAAAAAATAGAGATTCTGAGAGTTGAGAGGGAAAGATGACCTTTTCCAACAAACAACTTAATAGAGTTTACTTGTTCATTGGTAAACATTAATACAGGTGCTGAGTGCCCTGAGTTAAATGAACAGAGATATGGACAATGTATGAAGAAAGTGTCCTGCTCCTGGAGGAACAGAGCTCAGATGCTGCGCCGAGCAGGTACCTGCAGGGCCATGTGGAGGGGGCTGCCGTCTCCCGTGGCCTTCTGGGTGGGCTGTGCTCACGCTTCTGCGGACACTGGCCCTGGCTGATTCTGGTTCTCTTCCCCCCAGGCTCCTGGCTGGAGAATTCTAGGAGAACAGACTCTGCTGCTGCTGCAGCCTGTAGATGCTCGAGTCTTGGCATCTGGCCCCTAAAATTGGACCACACCCAGCATTTCAACTGTTTTTAGGCTGGGCTAGGACCGTGCTTATGTCAGTGGGGATGAAAATGGAGTTGGTTAATAATTGTGACAGCTAGATCCCTGTGTCCAAGGGGAACTTGAGCTGGTTAGAATTCCACCCTGGGAAGCTGTGCCTGACCCTAGTACCTTGGAATACTCACACGTCTTTGCTAAGGTTGCTGCATTGTTTTGGCAGAGGAGGACTTTCTTGCAGAGAAGCAGAGCAGGGCATGAGAGTACAGACGTGGAATTACTGTATCAGAAACTCAGATTGGAATGCAGACACCCCCGCCTGGAGTGCATTGTTTCCCAAGATCCATACCCTATCCCACTGAAGTTCTTCCGTTACCCCACATTCTTATTTCTCCCGTTGGTGCACTTCAGTCCACCTTCAGAAATCTCTCTGGTGTGCATTTTATCGCAGGGAAGCATTTTTTTAAGACATTGACTGTAAAATTCCCCTTCTCTTTGTTGTTCTCTTTCTGTTGGGTTGTCTGAAAAGTCATGACACATTTTTGCGTAGACAACAGAAAAAAATATGCCATGGCTTTTCTGACAGCCCATTATCGCTTCTGCACAATATTAGAATTCAGAGTCAGAGCGAGGAACCGTCTGATGCAGGTTCTGAATGCTGCGCTTGCTGCCTGGGCTCCCCACTCAACTGCAGCCGAGGGCCGGTGCCTGTGCACTGGTGCCTGTGTGATGGGGGTTGATGGTGAATCCGAACACGTGACCTGCAGCTTTGGTTCCTGGCGGCCCCATGGCAGGGATCATGTTCTGGCCTTACTCATCCCACCTTTGACCACAGTATCAGCCTCACAGTTTCTTTCTCGCCTCCACTGGCTGTGGCTTTGAGGCCAGCGCCATGGACTTGCCTTCACCCCCCCCACCCTGACAGCTTAAGGGAGCTGGCAGGAAAGCCTGAACCCTGGGTGCAGGGAAGACTGCTCATTGCATCCGTGATGCTCGCTGGGTAACACTGCACAGCCTGACTGTGGCTCGGCAAAGTGGAACACTCTGAGCGGGGCGGGGGGAGGTGGGAAGGGGTGAGTAAATGGATGGAGTGACCGATGTCGGAGTCACTTGGAAAGACAGAGGGCTGTCTCAGGCGACAGCTTCCCTTGGCTCTCCATGTGCATCCGCTCTGTTGGTAGCTGACTCTATGTCTGCATTTCCAGGCTCAACATCCTCCTGACCGGCATGGACCCGTTCTATTTCCACGCGGCCAACATCATCCTGCACTGCCTGGTGACACTGGTGCTCATGTACACCTGTGACAAGACGGTCTTCCGGAACCGTGGCCTGGCCTTTGTGACAGCCTTACTCTTTGCTGTGCATCCTGTCCACACTGAGGCGGTGAGTGTGTATGAGCTCGACAGCGGGCCCCTCCAAACGCCAAACCATTGCTTCTTTTCTTGCCTTTCAAAACAGTCTGAATTCGGGCCTCCTTAGTGGCTTAGGGGTTAAGTCTCAGCACTGTCACTGTGACAGCGACAGCCTGAGTTCACTCCCTGGCCAGGGAGGTGACCCACAGAGGGTGCAGCAGACCTCTCCTGTCTCGCCCACTGCTCCCTTCAGCAGTGGACTTGAGTCAGCCTGCCTGTTCTGCTCCTCACTCTGTCTGGCCTGCACTCCAATTCTTATACACACACACACACACACACACACACACAATTGTGTGAGTTCTGAGTGCCACTGCAGTGTTACCTTAATATATAAATCTTTCTGCACGACAACGTCCCTTTCCAAATGTCCGGTTTGCCTTCACTGGGCATCCAGGGTAACTGCTTTTCAAAGGAACCCCTGTTATCATTGCAGGTGGTAATAAATGGCTACGGTTCTCTATTTGCAGAAAATTTAAGTCCTGGTGGTTTTCAACATCCAGGCGCATTTTGAAGTATTAGTCACGCTGGGACCCGTGTGCCTGCTCCACATCGATGTCCTGCTTTCTCTTCACTTGGTTTTAATTTATAATGTGTATAATGCAGGGCTACTAGGGAGGATGATGAAAAGTCAGACTGATATTTTTCAAGAGAGAAAGACAGAATTAGAAGACATACAGGCTGCTCCCCAGTCACCTGATGTTTTTTGGGTGGTGAGCAGTTGCTGTTGAAAGCACAGGAGCGCATGGCCCTGTGCCCGCTTCCAGGTCATGACCTACCCTCAACCCAGGGTAGCCTCAAGCTACTTCCTGTCACATCTCAGTGGCCACACTTGGCTTAATGTTTATGGCTTGGGGTAAATGAAGATTTCCAAAGGAAAAATGGGTCACCCCAGTTCTGAAAAAATCATGTCCAGAGTTTCCCTTCCTAAAGCACCTGTGCACCTTCTTAAAGCAGGTGTTTGAGCACACCTGGGACAGAGGTGTCTCATTGGTTTTCCTTTCCCTCTTCTCTTCTCATTAAAAATAATGAAGAAATATCTGTTGGTAGGGGGGTGTCTAGACCCTCTTTCAGTGTCAGTGTGTGGAGACTGTAAGCTGCCGCCAGCATGAGATGGTCTGAGCGAAGGACGTCAGGATTAAAGCACACACTTCTTGGTCAGCAAGCAAAGGCACACTTTTTTCTTCTCTCCTTCCCTACTTATACCCTTCAGCATGGAACCTGGGGCTGGGGGGAGGCGGAAGCTCTCAGCAAGTGCATCAATAACATACGACAATAACATGGGGGTCAAAGAACAGTCACGTAAACACAAGGCAGTAAACACAAGGCAAGAACACTTCGGGCCTCCTGTTTTTCTGTTCCAGCACCCATGGCTCATTCTTTGCGGGGGACCTTGACCAGCAAGGCTGAGGATTGGGGTCTCAGGGTCGACGAAAGGAGAAGGCAGAGCCTTGACCTTGTGGCGGGCCTTGACCCGCATGGCGAGGGGGTAGAGCCCCAGGGACAGCGTGAGGAAGAAGGCAAAGATGGAGACACGTGCGAGAGAGAGAGAGAGAGAGAAAATGTTTACTCTAAGTTCCAATCAAGTGCTGTTTTGTGCATAGGAGGCCGGTCCCCGACAATTCTTTCTGTTTCCACACAACAGTGTGCATATGATTCTGTGGGGGAGGTGGGGAGGTCTGTCCAGGCAAAGGACCCAACATAAGCAATTCTTGGCATATGAGAATTTGACTCAGCTCGGACACAGTCTACTTGGATGTAGCATTCACAGGTGAGATTCCACAGGTGAGAGCTCAGTTTCCTCAACCTCCCTCACCTGTGTTGCCAGTGGTGCAGCGAGGCTGTTACCTGTGCCTCTGTTCACCAGGTTACTACAGGTTATAACTCAGGAACAGCCACAAAGAGGTGCACAAGACAAGGTGGGGTGCACTTCCAGGCCCACCCCAGGGTGCCACAATTCCCAAATCTCCCAATTCTCCCTGCCCGTTGGGCCTTTATGGAGGCTTCATCACAGAGGCATGATTGCGTCACCAGGGACGTTGGCAATGGGCCACAGCCTCAAGCCTCGCTTCCCTTCCTGGAAGTCTGGGGTGGGGCCAGCATCTCTAGCCTTCTGATCATCTGAGCATTTCCCCGGGCAACAGCCCCTACCCACAGGTGCTCCCCAAAGTCACTTCAGTCACATGACAAGAGACACCTTTGTTACCTAGCAAACTCCTAGGGTCTGGGAGCTGTGAGCCAGGAGCTGTGAACGGAATGAAATACATTTGAGAAATAGATTCTGGTCATCTGAATGACCCAACCTGAATGCCTCATTAGTCATGACATGGCATGCACAGATATCAGCGCTTGCTGTGCCCTGGTGTAGGAATCTCCGAGGCACCTTACAAAAAAGCAATGATATGTTGGTTCCACAAGCCTCCTTCCATTATGGTACCATAAGCCCAAAGTGGGCTTCCTGTCTTACCCCGTCTCCGAAAACCATGGCATGGTGCGGAAGCAGGCTATGGCGGCCTGTGTTGATGTTCTGGTTTCAGAAGTGGCGGCTGCTGTGGGGAAGCCCTCTGGCAGGATCCTTTCCTGGACACAGAGGTCCGTGTGGGCCAGCTGGTATGACGGTGAGCACTGGTTTTGCCCGCCAGGCTCTGAAGCAGGCATTTTCCATGAATAGCACTCTAACTCACCAAGCCCAGGATTTTTATAAATGCATAAAAAGTTGTCCTGTGAAGGGTAATTTTCCAGCCCTTTCTGAGTCTCATAGACCTGTTACAGGCCTCTGAGTGGAGGAAGTGATACTTCCTGGGGAATCTCAGCAAAGCCCTTTTGCTCCACTTGTGGCCGTTAAATCCAAGGTGGGGGTACTTAAACGGCTGGCTTTCAACTAGATTAGGGAGGATCTGATTAATGTGTCAGCTTACGGGTCATTAAACTTCATGTACAATGAGTGAGTCCCATGAACCATGCTGATAAATCTCATGTTCGAAGAAAATGGTCAATTCGATGATGTGGTGATGTGGGGACTCCATGGTCATTTATGTGCATGACCTGAGGTGGTGGGAGCTGGGATAGAATCAGTGCCCTTTCCTGCTGCTTTCTCCTTCTCACCAGGGGCTATCCTCAGCCATCAATGCCTGAACTGATTGAAAAAACACTTGTTCCACCTATGAAATTCAGAGACATATTTTTATTTAAAAATTATTTGTTTTTTTTTTTCTGATTTAATCTTGGCATATCCAATAACTGCATATTCTAATTGGGACAATTGTGCATCATTAAGCATGCAACACCTTCATGCTATGATCACCAGAAAGTCAAAAGTCAATTTAATGGTATATGTGTTTTCATTATGGAGAGAGAAATGAGGTGAATTCTTTTAAAGCATAACTATAATACTAAGAAAAAATGCTGTGGGAGAATGAAAAGGAAAAATGAGTCCAAGGCAGAAGGGTTCTAAAATGTCCACCTTTAAACAGAGACTGCTCATGCTTTTGTAAATGGAAAATGAGTCTCAAATTGGTGTGGAATGTTCTAGAGTCTACTTGATGCTTTTAAAGAAGTGGCATTAAAGCCTATTTAAATATATCAGTATTTAGAAAGCATTGAAAGTTAGAGCATTTTAAGTATTTAAAATTAGGATGAAAATTTTTACAAATGCATTTGTAATATTCTTTTGAATGTTGGGGAAAAAGCATTCAGGTACCACCACTGCTGCTTTTATAGAATATTTGATGTAAAGGTGATCACTATATTTTAAACCCAGCCTGTGGATAATATAGTGTTTTGACAAATGACTTTAAAATTATAGCTGAAAATATGAAGTTGGAGTGGGTTGGGGAAAATTCTTACAAGAAAGACTGAATGCGCAAGAGACAGCAGTCAAAATTCTGTGCTCACAGTGAGGGAATACATAACACGCAGGTGACCTTGGGCCCTGTGATTAAGAGCTAATAAGGAAAATCCTGTTAGCCAAAAGACCTTTAAGAAGGGGTTCCAGCTAGCTAGCCTTTGTACTAATCAAAAAAAAAAAAAAATCCTGGTAACACAATTATAGGGGCAAAGGAGTCAGAATTAACATTATTTAGGGAAAAACTATTTGCGTTCATAAGCAGATGAGAGAAGCTGAGGAGAGCAGTGAAAAGATCTGACCCACTTAACAATGCGCTGCCAAGTCAAGTCAGGAAATGACCATTTAATGATCAGTATTAGTTTAGGCTGCTAAGGATGGGAAGAGAGAAAAATAGATGTGCTTTATGGATTCATCGAGATGGTATTAAAAAACAAAGAAAAGGTGCTAGTGGATGGGAAAGGCAGTGATGTGTGTACATAGCTTCCCTTTGTGAAACTAGAAGGAAAATAGAACCTCCAGTTCTCCCAGAAAGGATGAAAGATCAAAACAGGGGCAGGCAGGTGCTTTAAGCAGATTGTGAGGTTCACACTTTGCTAGATTAATGATTGCAGTCAGAAGATCATCAATGAGCACTTGCTTGGTACAGGTTCTCAGCTAGAGTCGGGGTGTAGGGAACAGGCCTTTGGTGTGTTCACAAGCTCCTCAAAAAGTCAGAAACACAGTCTACATGTTACAAGACACCCCAATGTGAACTGGGCCGCCTGACAGTGGGGCCTCTCCCACATGCTTAAAAATCAGTTGTACTGCAGGCGCACACAAAAAGGTCAAATTGGGTTTATTTACAAAAGGGGAAAAGAAAAAGGAAACAACAACTGGAATATCTTACTGGCTGGGCTGACTTGGAGCTCTGGTAATAAACTAACTGAAAGCCCTGAGTCACGAGGTCCTGACAGCTGTTTCCTGAGCAAAAGAGCGAGAGACAAAATGGTGCCCTATTTATCCCCAAATGTCCCAGAATTCCTGCTAGCTCCGCCCTTGGGTCCTTGCAGTTCTCTCCCTCGTACTGCTGGGAATTGTAGTTTCCAGTCACTGGAGTAGGGGGTAGGTTCCAGAAAGCTGGTGTAGGGGGTGGGGTCCACAAGACTCTGCAGAGTTCCTTTAGGACATCCTTCCCCTTTACATGCTTACAGGACAAAGTAATAGGTTGTCGAGAAACACAGATCCCATCAGAGAGAAAAACCACTCAGTGGACGTGATTTCATTTATTCACTTCCCTCTTCCCACAGATATTGGAAGATCTGAGTGACACGTAGTCACCAGGGTAGGGGCACAGTGGTGAGCAGGGCTGCCCTCACCCTGCCTCACCAGAAGCCTCCGTGTCTTGCAAGGGCTTCCTGATGGTTTATTTCTTGGGAAATAAACAGCAGAGCTGTGCGTGGGTGCCTTCTTGTCTCACCACAGGGCCACCTCCTTGTGGATAAGAACATCCAGAACTTTCCTCACACAGGGTCTGTTTGTCGTGCACAAATCCATTAAGTGAGTGGTGCTCCAGGAAATACCAGGCTGAGGACCCCGTGCCGTCCTTTGATAGCCATTTCCACACTTGATTCTGTTAAACTTGCTGGGTGATCCACATGTTATGTCATTAGGCTGCTCCCCAGTGCTCCTCAGTCATGGACGCCTTCCACCATCTGACTGTTCAAGGACACAGTTCCCTGGGTGACAGCTGCCTTGTGGTGCTGAGGCGGCCCCTGTGTGCGCCTTTGCATCTCATTGTTCTGCTCTTTTGAGCCCTGCAGTTCAGCCTTCGCTGTTCTAGCATGAACCCTAAGGGGCTTCTCCTGGGGCACCCCTCACTTTGCACCCTGTCATGCTCTCATCACTTTATACCCCCCTTTCCAGAAACACCTTCTCTTTTCTCTGCCAGAAAGATTGGCACCTCAGCTCACGGCCCTATCCTGAGCTCCCTGCTGCCCTGCTGGCCTGTCCTTCTTCCTGGTATAGCATGGGGGACCCCCTCTGGGGTCCCCACTCCTGCTGTGAGAGCCACTTAGTCTTCCTGGTTCAGGTGCATCCCTCCTTCTGACTCCCTACCGGATGTCAAGCTCCTTGAGGCTGGTTTCCTTCCCAGCAGACCCAAAGACTGGTACAGAGGCAGCCTTTGGAAGCAGCCTTTGTGGCTGGAAGAACATTCTGGGCCTGGCATCAACTTATTGATCACAGTGATTGGCTGGTCTCAGCAGAGCAGTTGATGACAAGATCTCATCTTCAAGGCATCTGCTGCTGGCCCGTAAGACCACACTTCACAGGAGTGTGGAGAGGTGTTGGACCTGGTGTGGTGTTTGTCAGTTGCTGGGGACATCTCAGCACCTGCGTGGGCTTCTTGATTTGGGGGTACCACCCCATTCATCCTCCTGTTGCTGCAGTCTGCAGTGTGGTTCTGCCCACCTGCTGGCCACTGCCCTTGGCACTGACCTGCACCCAGGGCCAGCCTGCAGACTCACTGTTGTGGCCAACGCAACAGCAGGCATGCTTCGAGTAGTGTCCCTCTGGGCCCAGCTGCCTCCCCTCACCCGACTTGGGGGTTCTGTTTATCCCTGGAGGCCTGGCAGGAGAGGCGAGTTCAGGGTTCAGAGCCAAGATGTGGGCTGGCCGGGCTTGGCCAGGCCACACTCGGGAACCCCGCTAATCCTGCTTTGCAGACATGGAGCCCCAGTTGGGCCTGACACCCCAGAGATGCCACGTTGTCACTGCCAGCTTCCCTGAGTCACCGTCTTCCTGATTTGTGCTGACACTCCTTCCTTGTTGGCACATGGGCCAGCGGGCACCAGTTGCAGCCCAGACCACATCAGGCATCACTCTCCGCTCCGCCATCCACAGTCGCTTGCTGTGTCTGGGTTTCTCTTGGTGCAGATTGGACAAGATTTTTTCTCAACGCATTCATGGTTTAATCGGTTTTTATTTAGGTGATTAGCTAATAAATACATCAACTTATCTAGTAATATGTAAAACATCAGACACACAAACTTTAAAGTAAAAAGGTGATTCCCACAAGTCATTTAGGAAAACCTGTCTCAGCTCTGCCCCCAGGCCCTTCCCTGCAGGGAAAAGGAGGCCAGGGGACTTCACACACACCCCATCTCTTTATTTCACTAAGTAGCACTGCATCATAATAACCCCTGAGTTTCCTGTGTGCACGATGGCAAGTCAGCACGTGTTTGTATCACATTAAATTCACCAGAAAATTCCGTTCCACTCTTAACTGTTGATCGCTTCTCCAGCACATGGTGGAGGTCGGGTCCTCGCTCCTGGGTGATGCCCTTCCCCAGCCTAAGGTCCTGGCCTCATTCCTGCTCCCCACCTCAAGCTTTCTCTTAGAATTGGGTTTGAATCATCTTTCCCTTTACAGTTTCATAAAATTCCAAGAAATGCACACACATTTTTTTTTATTACAAAGTTTATTTTTACATCATTTTGCACATTTTTTTTTCCATCTCGATTGTAATCCCCGCAGGTTTCCCATCACCAAATCACCCCTGTGCCACCACAGGGGTGCATTTCCTTCCCTCCCCCCCCCCCCCCCGTTTTTGATCCCATTCCCCACTCCACCCCCACAAAATGTCTCTGGTATATGGTTGTTCATTATTTTTGTTATTTTCTCGCCTGGTCCATTATACTCCTGAAATACACACACATTTTAAGCAGCGAAGTAATACAGAGATTTGTAAGTTTCTGCCTTCCCCTCCTATTTTGCACTTCAGTTTCCTTCTAAAGAAATACATTCAAAACAAAAAATTTAAGCTTGAAAATATAATGACTATATAGTCTTTATTAAAATTCCAAATTTTTTATGTTTTACCACTTTGTTTTATCAATTTCCCTCATTTTCTCTCTTAATGCATGAAAACATTATTTGCTTTCTAAAACACTTGAGACACTTCATCCACTTTATGCCTTAATAATTTAGTTTTCTGAATTGTTCTCTAACACAAAGGTCATTCATCATTTCTCTTTAGTCTCCTTGAACTAGCAAGTTACCAGTCTTCATTTTCTTTATAACATAGAATTACATATAATGTGAATTTTGTATTAGAGGTTATATAAGTGTTAACAGTATTGTTCTGCAATAGACATCATATAATATATACCGTTAAATAATTGTAGCCTCTATATAATGTGTAGTTTATAATACATGTCTGACTTACAGGTATAGTATAACAGATGAAGAAAAATATTGATATGTAAATATATGACTCATTTGTAAAGTATATACAATGTAACAAATGCTCATAGGCTACATTACCAGTGTCACACATGTCATACCTGTGTACTATGCAGTATTACATTATGATGCGTTGTTATATTACTGCCTTTATTTAATGTTCAAGTTGTATGCAGTGAGAGCTCCCTGCCACCTCCTCCTACGCCCTTTTGTGTGTACCTGCCATTTGGGGGTGCTTTCTTGTTTGTTTTCTGTCATGAGAAGATGATCCACATGACCTTGTGTCTCCTCTTCTGGCCAAGGACTCAGCTGTGTCCTCCTTAGTGGAAAGTGCTTGGCTGGCTTTTGCTCCTGGGGTGTCTTCCTTTCAGGCGCTGTTAATGACAGAGCTAAGAAGTGCACACAGGTCACACACAAACACACATACTCACTCACCATCACAGTTGGAGCCTCATTCTCTTCTTGCCAGCAACCTGCCCTCTCAGTCTCCCCTGCCTCTGAGTACCCCCGTTCCTTGGCTCCCATGGCCACAGACCTGCACAGCATCTGGACTCATTGCTCCTAGAGTATTTTGAGTTATTTCACTAGTGAATAAGTTTTGTTGCTGTGAACTGACCCTCCAGAGAAGAGAGGATGAGCCTGAAATGAAGGGAGAAAATCTTGCCCTTCCTGCAACCTATCGGCTGTCTATGGGCAGGGGTGGGGATGGGTCAGATGGAGAACAGCGTTTGCTGTTGCGTTGTACCTTCATTCATCTAAAAACAACTCTGTGGCCATCAGGGTTTTCTGGAAGGCATGTTCTGAGGTTTTCATCTTCCATTTTTCCAAACTTCCTAGGTGGCCGGAATTGTTGGCAGAGCTGATGTGCTGGCGTGTCTGCTGTTTCTGCTGGCCTTTCTCTCCTACAACAGGTATGTATGGCCCTTCTCCATGATGGACTTATGCCTGCCTGGGTCGTGTACGTGTGTGCATGCACGTATGTGTATGTGTGGATAGAGCACCAGCCTGGTTAACGGGGGCTTTTGGGCAGTCAGAGCTGAACTGGTGCCCTGCAGCCCAGGGCTAGGAGTCATCCTCCTTCCTTACTTCCTTTGAGGCCTTCTCTCTTCCAGTCTGAACCACATCCCAGCCTCTTAAAGAAGCTGCTCTTCCAGGGCTGGGAAGGCAGCTCCTATCTCTCGATTCCTCCTCCTTGTTGCTTCTCACCGGGATTAGAATTTGGAATCTTAGTTCTGAGCCAAAACACACTGAGCAAGTGTCGTCTGCACTTCTGTGTTCCTGTGATTTGTTTAATTTCTTCTTTTCATCTTGGCCGCATTTTGTTTTCCTTTTCACTAGTCTCACTAATGTAAGTGCAGAGCTTAAAATAACAAGGCTGAATGGAAGGGAGTATTTTCCAGCTGTGGTTTTTCCAAGTCACACACCCTTACATCAAAATATAGAAACTTGTGGCATTGGGAAATTGAAAAGAAAAAAAAAAAGTCTCCTATGATAATGATCCCCCCCCCCCCCCCCCAGGTAACCAGGTAGGTTGTCACCTAAGTTGTGACATATTTACACTGGGAAAGGGGCAGGTGGATAAGGCCTCCCTGGTGGCTTAGGGGTTAAATCTCAGTGTTGTCAGCACAGTGGCCTGAGTGGCCTGAGTTTGATCCCCGGCCAGGGCGCTGACCCACATGCAGCAGACCTCTCCTGTCTCTTGCTGCTCCCCTCAGCAGTGTACTTCCTAGATCGGCCTGTTCTGCTCCTCCCTCTGTCTCTGGGGAATCCTCTCACCCTCCTGTAACTCTGGCCTACCCCAGTTCTTCTCTGGAAAAATAAATAAATAAGAGAACATTGTGGGGAGTAAACCTGGATGTCCTACTCTCCGGGAGGAAGGCTGGTTAATTAATGATTTGTGAATTTTGATCTCTGGATCAGTTCATTTGCCTTAGAATCTTTCAAAGCCCAGTGACTCTGAGGAACCAGTGGCTCTCAGTTCAGGGTGTTTGAGAGGACACTTCACAATGTCTGGAGGCTGTTTTGTTTGTCCCTGAGAGGCCAGAGATCTACAATAGCCAGCGCAACCTTTCCAAGCTAGTGTCAGAGGTGCGAAGGTGGAGGGCCCCATTAGAGCCAGTTCAGACCTTGGATGAGAATGACATGAAGCTTCGAGGTGTTTTGGTGCAAGTGGTCAAGAACCTTCTTGTAGACCTGACTGGGTGGCCTCCCACTGCACGGGAAGAAATCACGGTGTGGAAATCTGAAGGCCACCAGCCTGCTATCAGCAGTGTGTTTCCTCTTCACTCTGGTGATAACGACATTAATAACAGCTTCAGATCCCTCTCTGCATGATACTGAAGCGTGTTATTTCAGGCCCCTGTGGGGCAGGCCAGTCCCACCTTAGCAGTGTCAGCTCTGCAGGAAGATGCGGTACACCTTTGCAGGCCACGGTGGGCAGCCACAGTGGGGTGTCAAGGTCAGATGTCAGTGCCGTGGAGATAGGGCAGTTTTTTCCTTCAGAGCTGGGTAGGTGGGTGTGGCTTGCCAGGTGTGGGGTGCTGCTGGTGTGGCCAGACACATGTGTCCCTGAGAGAGCGAGCTGCAGAGGTCGAGGGGTTTTGAAGACCCTGCTGGAAATTATGCTGAGGAGGAAAAAAAATGTGGTTAATATTTCCTCATGGGAGATCAGTGGGAGAAATGCACTTGGCCACAAGGAGGGTGAAACATCTGTGTTTTCCATGGGTGGACCTGGAGGGGTGCTGCTGATACAGTGTCAGCTCACACCAAGTCTGCTGTTGTCTTCACTTTGTACCATTTCTAGGGAACAAAGCCAATGAGGCTTCTCTATCTTTTATAGTTTGGTATTCTGACTTGTTCTGGATTTGCTTCCTTAAAACTTGGGGCAGATCTGTGTTGGTCAGATCTGGATTAATCATTAATACCTTTTATAATCAAATAGTAACAAAGGCATCTGTATTTTCACCATAGAAATGAGGATGCTACTTTATAATTTAAATATATACTGTATTTAATATATACTGTATACATACATATATATGTACTTGCATATACATTTTACATATATGGACATTGACTTCTTAGGTTTTGTGTGCAAAAGCATATATATAAATAATAGTGATCACACTAAGCCCTTGCCATTTATTTACTCCTCCTACTGCCCTTCCTTGTACCCCCCTCCCTCCCTTTTCACAGGTACAAAAGCTAAGAGAGTCATCTGCCCCCTTTTGCCCTATAAATTGTCTGCTAAACTGCGATTTGAATTCAGGGGCCTGACTCCAGATTCACACACACGGCTGGGTGGCCTGTCTTGCTTAAAACACACTGACTTAATGTCTGCCCATGTCATGAAGTGTAACTCTGTGGTAGCATTTTAAGTGACATTTTGCATTCATTTAATGATACAAGAACTGAGGTACAAGCCAAAGCTGTGTGTGTGTGGGGGGGGGGAGGTGGTGTTAGTGGTGAGAGGATTCACCAGAGACAGAGTGGGGAGCAGAACATGCAGATTGACCGAAATCCACTGCTGAGGGGAGCAGCGGGGGCGGGTCAGGAGAGGTCTGCCGCGCCATGTGGTCACCTCCCTGCAGGATGGAACTCTTGCTGCAGTGGCTGTGGACAGCTTCATAGTGCTGTGCTTTAATCCATTGCCACCACAAGGGGAGTGCCTTCTATGCCATATTTTCTCTTAATTTAAGGAACAGATTCAGGGTGGTTGGGGATCTGCTTTCTTCTGGGTTTGCAGTTTAAGTGGTTTGGTGTCGCACACTGTGGACGTCTCTGCTCACCTGGAGCTCCGCGGGCCTGGTGTCAGCGCCTGCCTTTCAGAAGTGGACGCTCTGGCAGCGCATGTTCCTCCTCAGCTGAACACAATCTGGAACTTGTTTTTCAGGAGCATGGCCCCGGGTGGGGTGGGGGAGCGCTTCCCCCCGACCGTGTCCCCCTTCTTCCTGCTACTCAGCCTGTTCCTGGGCACCTGTGCCATGCTGGTGAAGGAGACGGGCGTCACCGTGTTTGGGGTCTGCTTGCTGTGCGACCTCTTCTCCCTGTCCCATGCGCAGGAATCGTCGTAAGTCATCTCCCGGTTTCGAAATTGGGCGGGGCACATGCAGAGAGGAAGTTCTCAGATTTCCTTTCAAACCAAAACCAAATAAAACACCTGCTAAATGTATCCCCCTGTTACGTAACAGGCACAATGTGAGTCCAAACTCTTCCCACTTCTGGACGAACTAATGAGGTTTCACTAAGTTTCCCTGAGACCTACATTTAGACCTCACATGGCTCGTTGCAAGTTCATATGACTGGGTTGTGCTGCTTGCATGCTGCTGTGAAATCTTTACTCTCACAGAGAAGTTGCAAATGGAACAGTTTCTAACAGTTTTTGCTCGGAATCTGCATTCAAATGAGTGGCAGCTGTCAGAAAACAGCTGTTGAGCTGGCTCTGGGGTTGCGCTGTCAGCTGAGAGTTTTCGGAGGTGCCTTCTGGAATCCCACAGAAGGCAGTGTCAGCCGCACTGGAAGAGTCGCAGGTCACACTCAGATTCCGAGAGGTCCGTTTTCATTTTAAAAAGGGAAGGCACATTCGTGTTATCCCCTGGCTTACATATGGTAAGGAAGACGAAGGTGTTTTCAAGTTCCTGGAGCTACCATGGTTGTCTTCTTCTGTCAAATCCATCCTCACTAACCATTTCACACGGAGCCCCTTTTGTTATGGAACTGCAAAGTCCTTACTTTGGAATTTTTAAGAAATATGAGAACTTACTCCCTGCTTTTTTTCTCCTACTTTATGCCTTTTATGTGTCTGGACGTAAGGACAAGACAGGGAGTGGTAACACGCTGAGGTGAGGCCTCCTTGGAGGTAATTTCAGTAGAACCTTGTGCTCCAGTGCTCTCGATACCCCTTAAAGGTGCTTAGGAGGAGGGAACCCAGTTATTCTGACCCACGCTTATGCCAGGAAAGCCTTGGGTCAGAGGTGTGGCTTGGATGACACCTCCCCTTCCGCCCCCCCAAACACACACACCAGCATCAACACAGGGCCAGCCTCGCTTTTTTGGAGAACAACCATCTCCCCCTTCCTTCCCACTTCCAGAATCCTCTTTGTCTCCTTACCTTTCTGCTCTGCCTCACTCACTGCAGCCACCCACAGCCCCTCTGTGGCCCTCACAGACCTGTCATAGGACTCAGCTCTCCCTGGTCCTGACCTCTGCTGACCTGTGCCTCTGTTCCTGTTTTTCTCCATCAGCTCCCTGGCTCCCTGGAGTCAGACATTCAAGGGGAGCACCGTCTGTCTCATCCCCTTCCCTGTCATTCTTAATCATCTCACTGAACTGCAAGGAGTTTGGTGGCTGAACAGCTCTGCTGATGGACATGCAGCCTGCAAGACGTGGGGCCGCAGTGTTTTTGTGGCAGCTCTCTGCTGTCTGCCTGAGACGCTCCTGCTTCCCTTAGTCCTCTTAGCCCACCTTGTGCTTGTTTGCTGTCCAGCCAAGAGCAACTCAGGGCCCATTCCTTCCCCCAAGCAGCGTGCGCAGGGAAGGGATGGCAGATGAGACTTGGGCCATCAGGGGTCCCCTAGAGATGGTGTTGAGGGGTGAGGAGGAGCTGGGTGCATCCCTGGGGGAGGGTCCAGGCTCATCTTGGTTAGAATCTCCTGAACAGCATGTGCAGGTGTGAAGCCCTCGATACTCACAGTGCTGTTAGCCTGGCTTTGTGGAGAGAGACTGCTCCAGAGTCACTGCCTCAAGGAGCCAGGATCTGGAGCCCGTCTGTGGGGCCCTGAGCACCTCACTTCTGTAGTGGGATACAGGGGCAGGGCCTCAGGACTGCCTGAAACATCCACTGTTAGGGCACCTGGGGGTCACAGCATCCTCTGAGGATCTCGCAGAGCTGTGTCCATTTTCTCAGAATAATACATATGCACAGTTCTTCATGCATTCTCAGTGATCTGTCCCCCACTTTTTTTGTGAATCCAGAGGGCCCTGGGCCACTCCTTTAAGAGTCAGCTAGGCTGCAGGGAAGCTGCAGCGGGGGTGTGCGCATGAGTTGCCTCCACCGGAGCAGGGGTCCTGCTGTCGTGATGGGGCTCACAGTCATGAGACTGGGTCTCACAGGTGACATCACCTTTAGCAAAAAACAACTTCAGAGAAATGAGCTTGTCAAGCTTCAGTTTTGGTTTTCTGTTCTATCCTTTGGGGAGATTGGGATTTCATTCTTAACAAGCAGAAAGTAACCTGCAAGGGGCCCAGTCCCTGCCCTTGTCTCAAAGTGACCACAGACTTGAGCTTGGCACGTCCACTCCAGTGAGTTTCGTGCAGTGGTTTCCTACTGTGTGTGTCCCGTACATGTCTGCAGACACAGACGGTGCTCACGGCCTTTCTTTTCCTGCACCACTGGCTGCCTGGAGTTGTCTGCACTGACATCCCCTGTTTATTCGCTCAGCTGCACTGTGCCGTTTGACGAACACTGTTTATGTCCCCATCCTTCTGGATTTGGGGTTCAGGTGTTCTCCACATGTCTTGCTCCACAGACTAGGTTGCTGTGGACATCACATCATGCTGTAATGTACAGACGCCAGGGCTTCTGGGTCACTGGGGCCCAGGTGATGCTGTTCCCTGTGACATTCCAGATGTCGCATGAAGTGTGGGCTGGAGGGGCCAGCCCCCCGTTCCTTCCCACATGCCCCTGTTCACTCTGCTGCTGGGTATCATCCATGTGACAGCGTGGCCAGCCTGGTGGTTATGAATTATTTCTCAGGACCTATGAAAGCAGCTGTTCTGAGAAGTTAGAGGGTGGATCAGCTCTGCACACAATTTTGTGGGACCATGAATCCCAGTACCACTTCTTCCAAATGAGATTTGAGAAGTGTACGGGGAGGATGCGGGGTGTATGTGTCCCGGGTAGGGGTTAAAGGTATCATGGAAGATACCAGACACAAAGTAACCGCAAGGCCCGAGGGTGCTGGCTCCCAGGGCCAGCTTGGGGGTGCACTGCTGTCTCTGCTGCAGGTCTTGTCGTTCCCTTTGACTTTGTTTCCCCTCATTTCTGTGCACAACTAGGAGCAGTGAGGACACAGATCGGCATAGCCCACAGCGGCCCAGGAGTGCGCACTCCTCACTGCCGGCACACGCCTACCGGGAGAACGGAAAGCAGCAACGCGCCCCCCAGAAGGGACCTTGGGGTGGCTGCCAGTCCCCACTGCCACCGGCACCCAAGAGCAGTGGATGCCCTGTGTCTCCTCGAGCCCTGTGGTCCGTGATGAGGTACTGGCTGGCACCTGCTCTTGCTGCCTGGTGTTACCTGGTGTCCTCCCTCTTTCCTATCTCTCCCTCCTCTCCTCTAGCCCCTCCCACTCCCCTCTCTCCTCCCCCTATTTAGATCAGATGAGATAGGAGTGGTGTAAGCAGCAAGCAGACTCCTGCAGTCTGCCCCCCTGGGGAGCCTCTGGGAAGGCCAGGCCCACCCCCTGCCTTCTCCCTGACACTCCATCTGAGCACAGGCTGGGGAGAAAGCCCCGGGCTCTGCCTCTGGGTCGCGTTTTTGAGGATATAGCAGAACCTTCCTTAAAGCAGGGCTTTTCTTCATCTTCTGTTCTAACCCAGCACTGGCAGCTCACATGGCTACATGTGAGCAGATTCTCCCCGGGGCAGGTGGGCTCTGGGTGGCTCCGGCCCTGGGTGAGTCAGCGGGCTGGGGTGGGCCTGCGCTCACAGCATTGGCACCTCACTGTTTCAGGTTACTGTTCGTCTTTCTGTTCAGTTGCAGAAAATGTCTTCTCATAAGGCTCTCTTTGTCTTCAACTGATCCCTCCTTTGCTTTTTTTTTTTTAAAGATTTATTTATTTATGCATACAGAACTAGGGTACAGGCCAGAGGTGCTGGGAGGATTCACCAGAGACAGAATGGGGAGCAGGAAAGGCTGCCTGAGGAATACAGTGCTGAGGGGAGGAGAGGTCTGCCGCACCATGTGGGTCACCTCCGGGGCTGGGGATCGAACTCATGCTGAAGTGGCTTTAGCTTCTCAGTGCTGTGCTTTAACCCGCTGCACCACCAGGGAGGGCCCCTGCTTTTTTTTTTTTTCTTTTTTTTGATCTTGCCCCATTTGCTTACCCATCAGCGAAAACCTCTTGCACATCATCATGTGCTTAGAATCTTCCGTAACCAGGAGGTCCCTGTGGATAAGGGTGTGAGGTCTCCCCTTTTGCGTTTTGTCCCCTCTGGGAGAGACAGAGGGCAGCGTGACTCCCAGAACAGGAGCAGAGGGTGACGGTTGGGCCCCACTGGATGAGTGCTGTGGTTGATTGAGGAGGCCTCCTGAGTCCTCATGAAAACTGGATGGGCAGTGGGGTCCAGGCAAGGAGTCCAGACAGGTCAGTGGCAGTTTCGGAAGTAGAGGGAGAGTTTTGGTGTATGGTGCCTGGGCGTAAGGGCTGTGTTAGTATGAAACCAAACCTGGATTTTATTCAGAGCTGAACAGGAAGATGTTGGAGAGAAATGTTGACTTTAAAAAATACTGACTCCTGTGCAGTCATGGTGTTGGCAAGAGCAGATGGGCCCAGAGGGTTGAGGAGTCTTCTGTCCAGACATGGTGGAAAGAGCATCTTGGCAGAGGGTGGCAGAGACTGGCTTGTAGAGGTGGTGGTGGTGGGGAGGGTCCTGTGTTTGGGAGTAGGGGTGAGGGGCAAGAAATGCGGGTGTTCAGGTTTTCAGCTTCTGCAGTTAGTGGTAACAGCATCCATTACTGGGAAACGTGAGGGGGAAAATTGGTTTTTTGAGGTTTGGGGCGTGGTTGGAGGGACAGAATAAAATTGCAGTAACACTTGACAGTTCCTGAGGAAGAAAGAAAAGAGACCAACAGTCTCAGTCAAACATTGAGGGTCTTGACCTCTGATGAGAGTCTGGATGGAGAAGACAGACTTGAGGAAATTGTCAGGGAGGCTGAAGACTGGAGATAGAGGTGCTAACCCCTAGTACCTTGGTGACCTGGGGGGCCAAGGCTTCAGGCTGCAGTGTGGCTGGGAGCCCCATGAGGCGAGCTCCCCGTTGGCCTTGATTACGTTGGCAACGTCGGGTTCCCCCATCACCGTCTGCCCAGTGGCAGACATGTGGGGTGTCAGTGTGTGCTCCTGTGAGTGTGCATCTGTGCATGTGTGTATGTGTAGAAAGCTTGTGGAGGGCAGAGGTGGAAGGTGCTGGAGCAGGAGGGCCGGAGGTGTGCCTGTTGCTGTGGGGCTCAGAGTGTGAGACGTGACTGCAAAGACACAGATCCTGTCCCGTGCCTTCAGCCACAGAATCCCTCCTGCGAGGCTGATCGTGGGCTGCAAACGTTCCTGGTCATGGGCTTGGAACAGCAACATGGCACCGGGTCAACAAAAGGTGGCCACGACGCCAGGGACACATTGAGCAGCGCCTTGGAGTGATTGAATCAGGGGCTTGCATTTGTTACTGCCTTTATAGCTTTAGTATGATTCAAGCTGCTGTAGTTGGATAGTCAGTCACGCTATGTTTAATGACTGGTTTGCAGACTCCCTGAAAATTGTTTCGTCTCCTCCGGCCACCCGTGGGAGTCGGTCGGCACAGTGGGGGGTGGGCCTGCCAGAGGGGTGTGATGGGAGCAGCTTCCTCTCAGCTTGGGTGTCTGGGCTAAAAGCAACAGGCCATGTAATAAGCATGTGACAGGCGTGCAAAGAAGTGTTCCTGCTGGGCCCCAGCAGCGCCATGCTGTGAATGTGCTGCGTCCCAGCGGGTGTTTGAACACCAGGAGGTGAAAGGGAATGGGCAGGCTCATGCACAGGCTGCTGCGGATATATATATAGTTCTGGTTGAATTCTGAGGTTTTTTTTTGAGTTCTTCCTTGTGTTGCATGCATGGCATCAGGCTGACAAAAATTTAAGCTAGCTCATCCTCAGGGGAGATGTTTTCAGGAATGACCAAACACAAGGAAAAGTCCTGCCTGTTTTTTTGGTGGGAATTCTAATTGGTTTGTGCCATTAAAAAATAACAACAACAATCACCCTGGGACTTATGGTTTATACTCAGATGATCTTTCCTGTTGGTACAACTTTTACTGCGAAAGAGAACCCCTAATAATTGGTAGCTTGGAGAGTAGAGCATCTAGACTGACCTCCAAAAACTAAGTATAGAAAATACCACATGACCCCAGCACTCCCACTCGTGGGCATCTCTCTAAAGAACATGAAACCACCAGCTCAAAAAACTATGTGCTCCAAAGTGTTTTTAGCAGCATCATTTACAGTAAGTGGCACTTGGAGGCCACCCATTGAGAGAGGATGGGATCAAGAAGATCTGATCTGTCCACAGAACAGGCAACTGGTCAGCCACGAGGAAAAACTAAATAGCGTCATATACAGAGCGTAGGCGCCTGAGGAGTTGTGTGGCAAAGCAGATCAGAAAGGCAGACAGGTACTGGATGAATAAAACAAGGAATCACAGATGAACTGACAAAGTGACATAGTTACGAACTAGCAGACACTTGTGAATGAAGTGGAGTTCAGGGACAGAGGGGTGAGAAGAGAGGGCCAGGGAGCATAAGGAAGAGGGGATGGGGAAAACGGTTGACTAGACGTCTTGCTAATCAGTGTTGAAAGTCTAATTCTGATGAAAAGCACACATACACCCCACCTCCTGGAAGAAGATGTCAGCTCAGATTTTATGTGGAAAGGACTTTGTCAATTCTCTAATTAATTGCTACTGATTGTCGTTCCTGCTTCCTTTGCTGTGTGTAAAGAGAAGCTGGGCTCCATTTGCCCTGGAAATCGTCTTCGGTGGGGTGGATGCTGTAGCTATCATACAGAGGGCGGCTCACTCCGACTGTCCAGGGAGGGGGCAGCACGTGCTGGTGGTGGACCTGTGGAAGCCGAAGCTTGTGCTTTGTCATTGGCACTGATCAACCAACTGCCCACTTACTGATAAAGTCATTTATGATGGGCCTTCATGCTTGTGCACCTGCCAGGGTATGGAAGCGGTATCCAGATGACACGTGTGACCTTGGCCTCCATGTACCTGCCCTTGTGTAGGTCTCAGCGTCCTTTTTCCGGAGTGAGGTGACAGTGACCTTCCTGGGAGGCTGCTCTCTCTGGGCTCCTGACTGTACACTCTCCCGATGGGGGTGGGGGGCGGGGGTGGGGGAGGAGGGGATGCTGCTGCAAAGCAAGCATTTGCCTCCTGGAGCAGAAGGAAATATTTTATTGAGAAGAGGCTGTTGGTGTTTTGCTGTAAGAATGATGGAAATGCTGAGAAATCCATTTAAAAAACTAAAGTTGCTTTCTAGAATAAACTGGTGTGTCAACTAGTCTTCTAAGGTTTCTTAACTGGGAGCTGCGTTTATTGGGCTACTGGCTTTAATGTGCCTTCAGGGGTTGATTTATCCAATCCTGGTCAGCCTGTAAAGTAGCTTTTCTCGAACACAGAACTTCCCAGGAAAGTATTCTGCTTTGTAGGTAGAGATTTTGAAAAGTTATTTTTTTTCCTCCTTTTACTCTCTCTTAAGCATCTCTTGAGACTGTGTTAGTCCCCCTGAACTGGCCTGGGTGGGTGGGAAAGTAGAAGTTACTTTGAGTTCATCTGAAGCATATTGAAATCTACTTTAGGAGGGGGTCCTCCCTGGTGGTTTAGGAACTAAGTCTCAGTGCTTTCACCCCCATGGCCTGCGTGCAAACCTGTATAGGGAGCTGACCCACAAGGCACAGCTCACCTCTCCTGTCTCACCTGTTGCGCCCCTCAATAGTGTATTTCAGTCAGTCTGCCTGTTCTGCTCCCCACTCTGCCTCTGGTGGGTCCTCTTACCTCCCTCCCCTGCACCTCTGGCCAGATTAAGTGGTCCTCCAGTTCTATGCAAAACTAATTTTTAGAGAAAGAATAAGGAAAAGAAAGAAAGAAATCTGTTTTGGTTCTCCAACTGAGCTCAGTGCTAAAATGGATCATTTCAATGAAGTGTTCCTTGGCTTCATTCAGAACTTAGCACTCAAAGCTCTTCCATATAAATCACTTGCTAAGAAGGCAGAATTCCTTTTAATTTATGGGTAGCAGTTGGCGGTGTGCTGGCGGCTGCCAGGCGTCATCTTGATAGGGCGCCCGAGCTTGGCAGCCTTGCACCCCTACGAGCTCCCGTCCGCTGAAGATAAGCTCTTCCCTTTCTCACTGCAGAGCAATCAAGCTAGGCATCTGCTTCCCAACTGGATGCCCAGGGACATATGTTCAAAGAGAAGCTACTAGAACGTGGGAGGCTTGCTTGGCAGGCAGTC